AATGGCGAGTGAAAGAATTTGAGTGTCAAATGCTCGAGCCAACCTTTCACTCGCCATTGGCGAGTGAAAGAATTTAAGTATCAAATGCCTAGTCAACTTCAATTATGTTTCCTACTTTAATCCCCTCAACAAATGAAAGTAATGGCAAATCCATTACCTTCCGTTTCGACTTTCCTTCTTGAATCCACTGTAGAGCCTTCGTCGGCTCAGGATTCTTTTCTGCCAAAATCCTATCTACTATACTCGCTTTCGCTGCATCACATAGGTCCTGTATAAACGGTACCCTCTTCGCTAATGAACCACAAACTAACTCCATCTTCTTCCTCTTCAGTGAACCGAGACCTCCCCGTTCTTTCCCAGCCTTTAGCTGCTTATACCACGAGTCGATATTCTTTGGTAGAAATATCAAAACGCCTAATCCTAGTATATCAACCAGAATCCCCAGCGCAGTAAACTGATAAATCGTGTCCGAAAATCCTCGCTCCTTTTCCAGGCCCAGCTCCTTCGTAAAATAGCTCGCTAAGCAGCTATCAATGCCCTTCCCCTGGCCAGTCACAAAACCATTCTCTTGTAAGAAGCCTTGTAACCGTAGTGCCTCGGGCCCGCCCTGTGAATAAAGATCCTTCAAGTCGACCCATGACTTCCAAAGCTCATATTGTTGTATGTGTGTCCGGATCTGCACAGAAGCTGTCCTTGCCCCAGTAGACATATTCACAACACTCCCCCACTGCTTGACTAAAGAAGCCAATTTCGGGTACTCCAATCCAACAAGCGTATCCGCAAGTCCTTCAACCTTCAGGACTGCGTCACTTACTGAAGAGGAGACTGCTTCGCACTCGGCTAACAAGCAGTATAAACGATCTTTAGAGGCTTCTCCAAACATCCGGCAAAAGAAAAGTTCGCCAATATGATAATAATCATCCTCTTGTAGTTTGAGGTTCCCCTCTCCCAGCTCCCTCCTCATATCTTGGAACGCTGTCCAGGACTCTGACGTTCTTTCTGACACATCCTTTTCTTCGATCTTTTCTTTTAATGCCTCAAGCGTCCTAGGTGCTCGTACAGTCGTCCTGGCTATATCGGGTGTATTAGGCAATACAGCCGCCTGTCCATGAGTATCTCTTCTCTTCCTCTTTTGTGGAATAGTTATAGATGTTTCTTGTACCTCCTTTCTAATCTCGTCACTCTCGGTCGCTTCACTGATAGATGTATCTTCTCTTTCTTGTCTTACGGTAACTGCGGGTTCGGGAGATTTCGTACTTTTGCCATCGTTAGGGCTATTGTCTAGCTGCGCCTTCGAGGTCTTCTCTTTATGCCGTTCGATTATTTTTCTGACTTGGTCTTCTATTCCTAAGTATTAGGCTCGCTCTTGTATCAAAAGTCAGAAGTACTTACGGACGACGCCCCAATCACAGCCCAAATCGTCCAAGACTACCGCCAGCTTCGCAATATAAACCACGTACTCATTCGTCTTATTATGTCGGTCTGGATCCTCTCCAAACTTAGAGATCAGTTTCCAGAACCGGTCGCTATCTTGTAATGGCCTTGGAGATGTCGACTTTGATGGTGAACGTGCTGGTAGGCCAGACGATGCCACGCTTGAGTCTCTGTTATCTTGTGGCATCAGATATCTCTGTTCTGTAGAGTTATCCGGCAGTTTCCCAAAGACAATTTCATTGAAATGCACTGTTTTTCGCTTCAAAGGCCTCATCATGAAGCTGAGAGTATGTAAGAACGTAAGTAAAAAGGTAAAAAAAGAGAGAGTAGAGTAGAGGGTGGAAGAGGGGAGGGGGAGTGCTAAACTCCCCATCCACCATTAACTCATTCGCAATATTTCTGTCTCATTACCTACATTCCTCATTAATCTCGATATTGCCGCAATACCAACCCTCATAAAAGTATTATTAAGCTTACTTTTCATATTATTCTAAAACAAGAACCGCCACATAGCCCATTTGAGATTTATGAAGATCTAATCATAATAATATTCGCTTTTATGAATCTCAAACGGGCACCTCTCCCTCGCTCAAGTGCACTTTCCCTATACTTACTTTTCTTAATAATAATGAAATAATGCAAGCCTGTAAGGGGGTCCTAGGTGATTTCAGACATGCATACGCACTTGGCTCAGATGTCTAGGGATACGGGTCTATGATTGGGTATAGGTGGAAGGTATCTAGCCTAGAATAGTTAAGATACACCGAGGACAGCCCCTGCATTCCAAGTAATGGCATATTAATTTCTCATATAGCCAGTCTTAATGGGCGAAGTGACACGTCGTTATCAGTGGCTGAGGTATTCAACAAAGTAGCCGTTGACTAGCTTAGAGGCAATGACCTGTGCCCATACGATCCCAGCCACCCACAGAGGCCAGATCGTCCATTCCAAGTCTTAGGGTTAGCTTTAGGGCTCAGAACGAGATCACAAGGGAGGCAGGTGCGCTGGTACACTACAACCCAACAATTCTAATAGGCCCTATCAAAGATGCTTTAGAAGAAAAGAGCCCATATTGTAAAGAATCGGAGAGTTACAAAAGCCCGATGATATCTTGATTAAAGCAAGCAAATCTGGGCCATGAGCAGTCCTTTATCCTTTATTCCCCACGTCTTTATCAATCCCCGGTCAATAGCTACTTTAGTCCCGTCGCTAAGATCACCTAGCCTCCCTCTTAGTTAGGCCGCACGCATAACGCACAGCGCACCCTTGCTATGTCCGGCCCCGCAAACGATGCAAGCCAGGGCCTAGCCCAAGGCCGGGCCACTGCCCCGCAGGAGAGCCTCCCCCCGGGCTCTACTGCAGCCAACGTTGTCCTTACATCCCTTTACGACCTCTGGGACGCTAACTCCGCCCCCGATAACGACGAGACCCGTAATAACGACTCTTACGAGAGCCTCCACGAGGAAGTCGACCCCCAGGACCTCCACGAGGAGGAGGTCGACCCCCGGGACCAGGAACCGGTCTCCCCAACGCGTCTTACACAACCAGAGATCGCAGATAGTGATGCCGACAGCGACGACGCACTCTCCACCATTGCACCTTCAACCATCTATACCCCCAACCCACAAGACCTACCTAGCTATATCAATAGGGATCTGATCGCTAGCTGGGTAAAAGATGAGAGCCTTACCCCGCAATCCAGACTCGCCCGAAGGATCGTTACCATTGCCCGCCTCGGCCTCGTTTCATGCTACGCCCACCATATACCACAAGATAGGCCACGACCTCGTTACCGGACGTCGTCCCCGGATGCCCCGAGTGATGCCGGCCCTTGCGGCCTTACAGAGCTTACGAGGCACATGACAAAGAACGCTTCCTGGAAGAAAGAGGTCAAGGGCATCGGACTGGATCGCCAGGAACCGCTATCTCACTTCCAACAACGGTTCCCTAGCCGGAACATGCTCCCTAACAGAAACATGCTCGAAGCCATTGCCTGTGGGACACCTCACGAAAGCTCATCCTCAGAACTTAACGTATCTCTAGACGTCGACCATGACGCCGATACCCAGATCCATCGTGCCAAGTTCGACGTTGACAGCTTCCTGAACATTATCCAAGATATCCAAGCATTTAAAGATTCTATCGAGTACACGCCAATCCGCCAGCCCGTAAGGAAGCTCCACGGAAGCGTACATATCACGTATCCCGTCAATAACCCGACCACGAATAAGCTCGAGAACATACAGCTCCACCGGATCCCGCATACTTACTTTGGGTCCATCCAAGGACAGACGATATATATCTTCTTCCCCGGCATCTATCACTGTACGAGGTCACGACCCAGTAGCCAGAATGGCGCAACGCAGCTCACAGAGGACGAACATCGTATATTCTATGACGAGATCATGATACCGAGTGTGACGGCGACATTCCCCGAATCGATGATGGGCCATATCGCGCTATCCTACCAGGATATCCGTAATAAGGCCAGCTTCTCCCGGAACACATCGACGCGTGGCGGTCTCCCTCCTTACGGCTTCCCTCTCCCGTCCTCCCTCCTTCCCCAGCTGAGTGCAAGCCTCCAGTCCACTCTGGCTAATTTAACACCCAACCCCGACGGCGATGATCCCGAGGCCGATGCGGTTTCGGCGCCTATGCTCAAGGACTTCTTTTTCTTACTCGATACTAAGAACACCAAAGTCCGGCACGGCGGCGCACGTAATTTAGAATGTTGTATTGCAAACTTCTGGGCAAAACAACGCCAGGTTGTCGAACCGTCCGTCATCCACGATGCTAAGCAACCACAGTTCCTCGATATCGCCGTTGAGTGGTCGCCCGGCGCGCATGAGCAGGCCACTATCCTCCTCGCCCGAAGGTGCTGCCAGGTTAATACCCTCAGGTTCCTCTACGGCCAAGTGGACGAAGCCCTTGGGTCCATCTTTCCACCCACAGAGTCAACCCCGCTGGGGTTATACAAGATCCGCGGGGGCCAGCACCACCATTACAATGTCAATCTCCTCCGAGACTCTGCAAGCCTGACCACGGAGCCCGCCGGCGAGCTCCGGAGACATGGGCTCAACTATTTCCAAAGCTATACCGTTGCCAAAGAGGTGTTAGACGCGGCCGGGAAGAAGCCATATAGCAGCGAGGTCCTCCTCCACGGCGGGTACTCCGACAGCGTCATGATCCGGATGATCTCTAAATCATCAGAGGCCGTCTTGTCGCGGAAGCAATTTGACGAGCTCTTGTCCAAGTCCCACAGGTTCTTCCAGGAGTCCGTGAAATCCAACGACAGGCGCCATTTCTCATGGAGAGCGGAGTGGCGGTGCACAAACTCCCTAGCGAGACTGGTTGCCATCGAGGACGAGACCTGGCTCGCCCGCGACGAGTTCACGTTTCCGGCCAGACCTCCGAATCCCCCGCCCAGCGACCCCGCGGCCCAGGGCCCCTCCACTGCCCAGGGCCCCTCCACTGCCCGGAGGCCCAGGCCGGTCGGCAACGCCGCGTTTTACTGCATTCCCTCCCCCAAGTACTGGCGGTTCGTCCACCGCACCATCGGCTTCTACGCCTATGTGATGGACCTCGTCTCTATCCACCACCGTGGCGAGACCGTGCCCCCGACCGCGTCGCTCCTCTATGCGACTCTGGTGACGCTTGCACGGTCCTTTATTGACCCTATCAACCCGCGTTTCCGCTATATCATAATGAATCCCCACAACCTAGACCCTATCTCCGGGCCGCTGCCGCACACGCCTGGAGCCGAGAGGAAGAGGGGCCTCGGCCTCCTGGCCACCATCGAACGACAAGGCTTCGGCTTCATCCCCAAGAGGATCATCAACTGGGAAAACCTCCGGCTACATCTCACAATGGAGTCCGACTTTAGCATCCCGGGACTGAGGACGAGCGTCGGCAAGACCAAGTATCTCGCGGTCAAAGACTCGCCAGAGAGCCTATTCTCCCTCTTGCTCCATCTCTTGGCCACGAACAAGAAAAGCGCCAAGGTCAAGGTCATCCTCACACTCATCTCGCACCTCATCCTCCGCCGCTATCGCAAAGCCGCGCTCGAAAGCATGATATTCAAAAACAGGCCAAAAGAGCAGCAACAGAGGATCGACAGAGATACCATCTCCTTTACATTCCCTGCACTTCAACACTACATCACCGAATGCGGCCAGCTAGCCATCAAATCCGGGTCCAATCGCACGGTGAAGTGGAGGACGCTCGATCAGTTCTGGGAATTCACATGGGAAGACCTTCCCTACGACCCCTCTATCGGCGCCACGAGACTTCAGCCGCAGACCACCTTCAAGGACAACGACTGGCGACGCTTCTGGCGGAGCGCGCGAGACGCCATCGCCTCCAGGGTCAGAGACGCGTCCAAGGGGAGCGCCGACTGGGTCGCCACGTTCGAGGAGAAGCACAGAGAGCTCTTCTTCGCATATCATACCACGTTCCCCTACCCGGCCGAGAACGGCGGACTATCTAAGCAAGGAAACGCGCCGTCTTCCAGGGCCCTCCTCTGCACAGTCATCGATCCCAGGGGAGGGCTCAAGGTGAGCATGAACCCGAAAGAAGAGCCCAGAACGGACGCTACACCCATCCCCACCTGCTACAGCGAGGTATGGACAGCGAACGACATCAAGAAGCTAGTGGACGCCGCCCGGTAATGATCGAAACCGACGAGACTGCCCAACCGCAAGGGCCCGCCAAGAGTCCGGGAGCATGTCAAACAAGGGAGCAGGCAAGGGAGCAGGCAAGGAATGGGCGCCGACGCGTCGCGTCCCTACCGCAGCGCGACCCATGTCTCATACGCCAGCTCAAGTGCTACATACCAGTCAAAGATAGACCGCCGCGAGTCCGGCACAGTAATGCGGCACCAAGGACCCAATTCTCATAGACACTTAGATAAACATAAATACATCTACTTGAACTGACTTATACCAAACCTCACCTTGAAGCTGCTTGACACTGAGAATACGAATTTCCCAGTATCATTAGAGTGTAACTTGTGACCTATTCGAGATTTGTACACATCTTGACTTGCACAAATCTTGAACAGACCCTTAGCTAACCCGACGTGAGAATCAGGCGACGGAGAGTAACCAATGGCCCAATTGAGATTTATAAAGAGCAAAAGTCTAGACATACGAATCTCAAATAGAACGCGTCACGAATTAGAGCGCGTAGTAATGGGCATAGAGTGTGGTAAAGTGGCTCAACTTATTCAAATAGAAATACATAAAAGTATCCCTCTTGCGTATCATTGCTCGGAGTTGATGACGGTAAGGACGCGAGCGATCCACTTGCGGATGTCGTGGCTGTAGAGCGGAACTTTTCACCGGTCAGCTCTCTCGGTCTTCTTTCTCAATTAACGATTCCTCTAATTGACTCGGGATTAAAAGACTTAGACCAAGAGCACATCTTGTTCAGCTTACTACCGGAAGAGGCGATCTTCTGGATGCGGAGCTGACCGAGCTCGGTCTTGAGCCCGCCAAGTTGCTTGGTCAAATCATCCTTGTTCTTGCTCCAAAGAGCGACGGTCTTGACCTTTCCGGACGACTGGGATATGATGGATTCTCGTCAGCGAAGCGGGTTTTCGTTTCTCCCACGTGACTCCTTCTAAGCAGATCCCGCTACTTCTAATGTTCGCTTTTCGTCGGGTAGAGGACACTTTGGGCGCGGGGAATTGAGGATTTAGCAGAAAACTCGCATCGGTTTTTTTGATGGCGCCCAAGGGCCCATTTGAGATTTATAAAGCGCAAAAATCTAGACTTTTATAAATCTCAAACGGCACCCGGCCTGCGGAGGGCGCCCGAGGGCCCATTTGAGATTTATAAAGCGCAAAAATCTAGACTTTTATAAATCTCAAACGGCACCCGGCCTGCGGAGGGCGCCCGAGGGCCCATTTGAGATTTATAAAGCGCAAGGGCCTGGAATTTATAAATCTCGAATGGGCCTCTGGGCCAGAGGCTTCCCACTAGATCACAGTGAAACCATGACTATAGCGTAGTATGTAGTGCTCAGTGCTAATATGTATGACGGGCTCCGGCTAATAGTCTACTCGTACAGTCAATCCAAGTCCTTATAATAGCGATTACGAAGTGGAGTATCTTGGCGGACAAGGAGCTAACAATCACGGGGCCCCTCGCGAATTTAATAGCAACAGCGATTATCCCGAGACTACTACATAGCCAGTATTGACCTAAGACGTCTAATATTCTGATATATAACTTCAGATAGATAGAGATAGTGAGTATATATCGTGGCAACGCGCATTCACAACGTGCGCTGCTTCACGGTATTATTCTGTCTAATCACAGTATCATTTATTATTAACTTCTACATAATAATCAACATAATTAGTTCACGACTTCCGTAGTCCGCAGTAAGCAGCCAATTCCGTGAGAAAACAAGTAAAAGTTCTTCCAAGCCGTATAGCAATTCGATTTGGACGATTCAAGAGACTTATTAGTCTTTCCAACTCCAGCTCTCCTCAAAACACTGCATTCACACATGAGGCTCACATCCCGGACAGACCTTCAGCCTTACCCCTCCCCCACCTTTTCAGAGCCGCACACACCTCTTGTCTTGTGGGTCCATCCCGCGCGAGCGCCCCACGGTTCGTCGCCCCACTCGCGTCTGCGCCCCGAGGCCCATTTGAGATTGATAAAGGCCACCCAGCCGGTGCACGGGCCACCCAGCCCAATATATCTCCCTTGTGTGACCTCAATCCATTCCTCCTCCAACCATCTTTTCCGCATCTCCCCCAAATCGATCGCAGGCTTTTATAAAAGCCTACGCCAACAATCCTCCCTCCCCTAGCTTTCACAAAAGCCAAACCCCATACTCGTGAGTCTACCCCTTTATAAATCTCAATTGGGCTCTCCCAGCCAGGCTTTTATCAATCTCAATTGGGCTCTCTCAGCCAGGCTTTTATCAATCTCAATTGGGCTCTCCCAGCCAGGCTTTTATCAATCTCAATTGGGCTCTCAGCCAGGCTTTTATCAATCTCAATTGGCATCACCCACAAGCCTACTTTGCTAATAACTAGTTGCGCAGAATACCAACCACGCGAACAATCCTCCTCCCAACAATCCTCCTCCCGACAATCCTCCTCTCGACAATCCTCACTCCAACAATCCTCCCTCGACTAGTTGCGCACTCTAGAGCCGAACACCCCAAACTACGCGAATATGGGTGAAGTGGTAGCCCGCAAGAAGCGCAATCGCAGCGCCAAAGCCGACACTCCGCGGAAGAGCGCCAGGCTTTCAGGCCAGTCGAGCGCAAATCCAGCCGCAGCTGAAGAAGACGTGCCCAGCGGCAACGAGAGCGATTCCCACAGCGAGAGCGAATTGGGTCCCGAACTCGACAAGGACGACGATCAGGCCACCGACAGGGCAGATGTCATTGACGCGAACCACCCAGATGTCATTGCAGGCCGTGTCCCTGCCTGGTCTCGCCCATTGAAGCCCTGGAAGTTCGCACCCGCCATCACCAAGACCAGGTTCTCCAAGAAGGAGAAGGAGGAGCTGAACAAGCACAACATGGACGCGGATGCTTGGTTTTTTGGGCTCCCTCCTTCCCAGAAGCTCTACTGCAAGGACTTCGTTGCGCGAGGCAAATTCAAGTTCCGAACTTACCCTCCTTCGGGTGCGTTGGAGAAAGCGCGCCCTGGCCTGATGGCCGAGTTCCGCGACGCTGGGAGGGACGTCAATAAACGACCATACAAGACGGGTCTCATTGGGGCACAGGCCTTGTTCGCAGCGAACAGCTATAACTCTTCCAGGGGCTGTTTCGTGTTGCCTTATCTCGGATTAACGCAGATGTACGAGCTGAACGAATTCCTCGACCTCCATGGTAAGTTCACCCCATCGCAGCGGCGCCATTTGGGATTTATAAAACTCCGAGCCAGGGTTTTATTAATCTCAAATGGCGCCCCCGCCTCCTTGCTACCAGGTGCTAACATAGTGAAGTTGCCCGAGTCCTCCAGCACTTTTTAAAGCCTTACCTTGAAACCTACTCGGCCCAGGCTGGTATAGACGAGCCGGCGCAGCCCGATGGGGACGGCAAGAAGGCGAAGAGGCCCACTCCCACAGTTCCCAACAAGAACCGAGTCCTGGACTACGTCCGTGAGCTAGTGCACCACCCCCGTCTCAAGCTCAAGACCCAGTACAAGGAAAAGTACCCTTCTCTCCTCGTTACCAAGAACCCGGAGTTCAACATCCTCCCTATGGACGAGTACGAGAACGTGACATATGACGAAGTGGCTTAGGAAGCCAGCGTCGCCATGTGCATGTGGGCTCTCTTGATCCACTTCCCCAACGTGTTCAGAGAATGGGAGGGAAATACGAAGGCGGAACGCTTGCCAAAGGACCCTAAACACTTCATCTGGGGCCATTCCCACGAGGACTGGATGCGTGCGTACTTTACGTTCATGCTCTTTCTGTATCGGCGCCGCAGTGCCGATCCCGTCACCTGGACCCGCAAGGCTGCCCAGACCGCAACGGTGGCATGGGCCGGGTTCTATGATGCAAAGGAAGCCGCGGAGGGAGGCAACCAGGAGTTGACCGGCGCGCAGATCGCCTCTGAGGCCTCTATCGAGATGGAGCAGGTGCTGGCGGCCACTGAAGACGATGACGACGACGGCTCCGAGTCGGAAACCGAGGACGACAAGCATCGCCATTTCAAGGAGAACCTCGAGCGGATGGGAATGCAGGAGCAGCTGGAGCAGTACGAGGCGACCTACTCCTCCGACTTGAGAGAGTACCAGAAGAACACCTTGAGGCAGGCGATTGCCGCAGATCAGCAGTACAAGGTCTTCAGCCTCTTCCAGCCCAGCCGGAAGATCAAGTGTGCCATCGAAGAAGCCGGCACCAAGCCGGCCGTGGCTAAGCTCAGCAAGGCCCAGATCGACTACCTCATTGGCGCCGCTAACACCTTTGCCAATGTTCAGAAGCACGAGCGAGTCGGTAACGATCTCCCTACGATGGGAGGCGGCGACACTCGGCTGCTGGCCGTCTCTGCGGGCGAAGGTGAAGAGGCTGTCAGGCACCAGTTGGCGAAGGACCGGAACGAGTTGCGCGAGGAAGCCCCCGACATGTACAACGCCAGCGCGCTAGAGGGAGACGAGGACATGGCCCGGTTGCGAGAATCTCGCCGGCTGATGGGCGGCAACATTCCAGAGCCGAAAGACTTGGCTAGCATTGTGGCCGGCTTCCAAATCGCCCCCGAGGGTGCCACCTGGGACAAGTGCCCGATCAACAAGGACCTTCCAGACTTCGTCCTCAAGCCGCACCAGATCAGAGGTAAGTTAACATATCTAATCCCCATTTGAGATTTATATATCTGGCACACCTTTATAAATCTCAAATGGGCCCTCTCTCGGCTCTCAGCCTGCTATTGCCGGAACCGTAACTAACTGTTAGTAGACATTGACTGGCTCCTGGAGCAGCTCAAGCATCCGATCCGCGGCGCCATCCTCGCCAACGAGTGCGGCATTGGAAAGACGATGACGGCGCTGTATGCGCTTGCGGAGGCCATTCGCCGCCACGTCATAGAGCACGAGGGCGACCCCGAGTGGAGGTATTACCCGTCAGCCATTGTGATGCCAGCCTCCGTCCTTGACCAGACCTTTAAGGTCATCAAGGAGAACTTTTACCACCTCTTTAAGGTGCACGTGTTTTACCAAACGCCGAAGACTGCACCCAAGCATAGGGTAAAGGAGACCTTGGACAAGACGAAGGGCCTGGTCAAGCTCTTTGACCGCTTGAAGGCTGAGCGCAATAAGCCCGAGACCGCGTCGAACATCATTCTGATGTCATACACAACCAACAACCGCCGACTCCTGGAAAACGACCGTCGAGAGCACGTTGAGGCCGAGACCGATGCGCGCTCTACGGAGGGTGCAGCCGACCCTGAAGACTCTGAGGAGGAGGAGGACATCCCAGGCGAAGACGACGCGCAGAACCCGGAGGTGGATAACGACGGCGACATCGAGATGGAGGGCACGACTCGCCCCAAGGGTTCCGTGGCAACAAGGAAGACAAACTTTGACCTTCCGTGCAAAATCCGCCTCTTTGGCCTCATCGAGGACGAGGGCCATGCGCTGAAGGACCCGGGTTCCCTGGCATACATCATGTGCGAGAAGTTCACGAAGCACTTCACTTGGATCGTCACAGCAACCCCCACGGTCTCAAGCATCAGGGACCTGCATGGATACCTATTGGCGCTGTAGGACAGCGCCTTTGGCTATCAAGCGGCGGGCGCCATCGAGCACGATCACCTCGAGGTGATCTACAGTGATGAGTACGTCGACGCGTTCAAGCGCCGCGACACTCAGGCGATGATCGAACTGGGTGTGCCCATCAGCTCGCTCCTGGGGATGACCGAGGGCGCCGAGGCGCAGGAGGAGGCCTCGGGAGCGCAGCCGAAGCCGCCAACCCAGCAGCAGATTGCCAGGCGCGAAGGCTTTCGGGCGGCGATGGAAGGCGGCCTGCCGGTGTACCTCCTGAACCCGCACAACTTCATGGAGTACGGCAAGATGCTCAGCTTCAATGTGGAGTTCACGTCTACTGCCGTGAAGCACGCCCTGGCCCAGTGTCAGATTCGCCGGGGGATGCTGACGCCGATGGTGCTTCCTGACGGGCGCACCACGTGCCCAGGCGAGGATATGCCGGCCTGCGATGTCGAGACGGTTGAGGTTGCACCCCTCCGCAAGGAGGACGTGAAGAGGCTGGACAGGCTGATCTCGACATACAACAACGACTTGATCTCCCCGCCACCCAGCGATATCCTTCCAACCATCGGCGGTGGAGGGACTGTGAAGAGGCACGACAAGCCTCGGATCAACCTAGCTGCAATGCGCAACGCGTCGCTAGTCAGCACCGACCTCCGATTCGCTACACTAACCGACCCCTCGAGGCGCATGGCGCGGGCGACGATGGATGCTGCAGGAGCCCGCAAGCTCCAGTCATTGGGAGGTGCGAGCCTAAGCACGCACGCAAAGCACCAGAAGGCGGTTGACGACGCCAGGGAGAGGTCGCAGCGAAGAGAAGAAGACGATGACGGAATAGTCGAGGGCGCCAGCAACGACGGCCCCAAGCCCGAGGCGGAGGCGGCTCGCCTTCAGCGCGCCAAGGCCAAGCGTAGACCCGCGCCCACGGCCGGCGTCAAGGAGGTCAACAACGTCATCTCCAAGGATGTCACCCACGGTCTCCAGTACTACTACTTCGCCACCCGAACCGATCCCGACATGGGGTGCCCAGTGGACGCCGTCTTGCTGGCCCGTTGGGTCATTGCCAAGTCTCCCAAGGCGGCATGGTGCCTCTCGTACGCCTTGAAGTTGAGTGAAGAAGGCAAGCGTTGTCTGTTCTACACGGTCAACCCCCTCACCTCCATGTAAGTTTTGCTCTCCGCTCAGTGCTCCATTTGAGATTTATATATCCGAGGTGGGTGGGATTTGTAAATCTCAAATGGGCCCCCTGCCCCCATGTGCGCTGCTATTAAATATGCGGACTTGTACTGACGTGTGGAACGCAGGATGCTGGCGGCTCTGTTCCGGATTTGTGGCCTCGAGACCCTCGCTATTCGCTCCAGCAACAACCAGTCTGAGCGAGACCGCATGATTGCCGACTTCAACGACCCGAACACGAAGGTGGACGTGATGGTTACGTCGTCCTTGTTGGCTGCATTCGGGGTGAACTACCACAATGCGTGCCACCACGGCGTGATCATGGAGAACTGTCCCAATTTCGGCCTGCAGTGCCAGGTGATCGGTCGTCTCTGGCGTCTGGGTCAAAAGGAAAAGGTATCCTGGAAGATCCTCCAGACCCAATCTACCTTTGACCCTTGGTTGGAGACGAAGAACATGCGAGCCTATGTGAGCACGGTTGAGGCGGAGGCCGCCATCGACGCCCGCATCACTGGGAGCCTGCGCACCGTCTGCGCGTTCGAGGTGCTGAGAATCTACGTGGGCGCCCCCTTTAACTATTATCCCAGAACGTACCGCCCCTGGAAGCACCTGAACAAGCCGGAGGTATGCCAAGAGGGCTACCTGTTCTCGGCAGTCGCCCAATGGCTCATTGCGCACCCTGAAGACTTCGAGGATGTCGATACGATGAGTTCCATCGCTAAGCGTTGGAATCCCACCATGAAAATGACGAGGGATATCCTCGTTGGCAGGGCCCCTGAGCTCGACCCCGAGGACGCGACCAAGTTCGATTACTTCACCGCCATCGACCCTCGCCTCATCAATAACGAGGAGAGAGCAGAGCTCCTCAAGACGCTGGGCATCGACGAGACGACCACGCCCGTCAAGGGTAAGAAGGGCAAGGGTAAAGACGCCTTCAACCCGTTCGAGTCGACCACTATGTCGGCGAGAAAGGGTAGGAACGAGCTTCAGCTGCGCGACCGCACTTGGTAGGATGGATCTGGGTGGAATGGTCTATTTGGTTTGGTTCTTTCTGGCTTTGAGCCTAGATTTGGTTGACGAGGAACCGCAATTTCTTGGACTTAGACTCCCACTAGGGGAGCAGTCCCTCTTGTAGGATATAATTTTGGCCGTTGGGTCTAAAAAGAATGATTCGCTATCTTGACATTCGGCAACGGGTCCCTTTTCGTGATGCACTCATTTGAGATTTGTAAAAGGCTGGCTCGACTTTATAAATCTCAAACGGCACAGCTGTCGCATGCTTCTGTTCGTCAGGCGCAAAGATAGATACGTTGGAAGATGCGTGAGAGGAGGGAGTCGAGGATACGTTGGCAGATGTTGGAAGATGCGTTGCGTGAGAGGAGGGAGTCGAGGACACGTTGGCAGATGTTGGAAGATGCGTTGCGTGAGAGGAGGGAGTCGAGGACACGTTGGCAGATGTTGGAAGATGCGTTGCGTGAGAGGAAGGAGTCGAGGACACGTTGGCCCAGGACGACTGAGTGTGCGGGCGATGCCCGTGGGCCAGTGGCCACTCGACCCATCCAGATTCTGAGAGAACGACTGTAATGTCTGTGCCAGGGAGAGATGTTCCCAGAACGGAACATTCAATCTAGAGCCCTTTGTCGTTGTTGATGTTGTCTAACGTTCACATACCTTCCTGAGGACCGGGCTTGGATACGAAGATGAGTAGAGGCGACGACCAGCTGCGCTTGTATTGCATGCCAGTGTGATTGTCTTGGGACGTGTTAAGGTGTGTCGTGCGATCTGCTTCACGGATCGTCGCGATTGGTAAAGAGAAGCGATGCCAGTGGTCTGTGTGTGGGAGCCAAGGAGAGATGTTCCCAGAACGGAGCATTCAATCTAGAGCCCTTTGTCGTTGTTCATGTTGTCCAATGTACACATACCTTCCTAAGGACCGGGCTCAGATACGAACACGACTGGAGACGACGCCCAGCCGCGCTCTTCTATTGAATGCCATTGTCTGTAAGCAAGGGCGCACGAGAGTCGTTTAGAGGAAGAGCGACGGTGGAACATCGAGATGTGAGCAGATGTGCCGGTGGTTGAGTCCGTCGGGCCGTGCGAAAACTCAACCTTCGTGGACTTGCTTGAAGTCCAATCCACCTCTGTAGCAGAAGAGATATGATAAATAGATGGGCGTAGACGCTCTAAGGTACGATGCAATTGTATTTAGCAGAACCCGTCTTCTATCTCTTGAACACTACAGATCTCAACTCTCAAACTTCTATCTCTTGAATACTACACAACCCATCTCTCAACGCAACCATGGCTTCATCTTCGTCTGCCCCCCAAGGAGTCCCAGACTTCAACCCGTTCGATGCCCTCGATGTCTGCGTCGACGACCCCAACAAGATCGGAGACGAGGAATGGAAGAAGTTGCTCTCACAAAAACATCGCCGTATCTGGATCCACTGCCACCCCGACAAGCGGGCTGCTGTCACGGCCCACGCGTTCCCAAACTGGCCACAAGCCCAGGAGGCATACGATTTCCTCTTGGACACGAACAAGGCCAAGTGGGCATACAAGAATTACTACGCTAAACGAACGTATCCGTTCTTTCCCTCACTCCCGTACGGCGATGGCGGCGTCTTTCGCCTGGACGTCTTCCCAAACGTCAATGAGCCGAGAAAGCGAGGCTACCAGCCTACTCCCGTGCACCTGGCGCTCGATTCCAAGCTTGACCCAAACGCCGAATACCTCCCGGAGGGTGATCGACTCAATCCTGTTCAGATGGACGCGGGGCCAGGCCCGAGCTCGCATGATCTCCCGATCCTCAACCGGGAGCGCCAACCCTACGGCCCGGGCCTGGCTCCAAGCCCACATATTACCCCCTCTGCCGGGCGTGAAGGCCAGCCCCGCGTTCCATCCGGCAGCTCCAACAACCCGTTTGTAGTCGGAGACTCGCCTGAGGCTGCAAAGCGTCGGGAAGTGACCCCAGGTCGCTCTAACAACCCCATACCCCTCGACAGCGACCACGAGGACGCCATCCTCGACGACCCCGAGGCCGTTGTTGTCGTTGATGAGCCCCGACGTGGCGGTGTTCAGGTGCCCGGCGTCAATTCCGCAATTGGTATCTTCGTTGGATGGCCAACCGAAAAGATGCACATACCCGTTGACCTACGCCCTATCGTACTCTGCAAATTCACTACCGCTGGGAGCTTTTCTAAAAGGGTCAAGAGCCGCACCTGGAAGGATGATCCAGTCGAGAGGAAATACTTGGACCGCGACACCCACATCCGGGCCGATGCAATCAAATTCAACGACACCTTCAGCAGCTGCATGTCCGAATCAACCGCAGTGGGTAGGAACGAAAAGCTCCGTACGATGGTTCTAGAACTTGTTACCAACCCAGGAAGCTGCCAGGATGATGTGTTTTGGGATTGCTAGACCCTAGGCCCAGACAATAGCACATCTCTCGTGGCATCGTCTCTCACCTCACTCCATCTTTGGACATGTACCCTTCATGTTCTTCTCTTTATTCACTCGTTTCTCTCTTCATTCACTCGTTTCTCTCTTCATTCACTCGTTTCTGTCTTCATTCACTCCTTTCTCTCTACCATTCACTCTCTACCGTTCACACTTTTCTCTTCTATTCACTCCTTTCCCTTCTATTTACGCTCTCTTAACGACGTTGGTCGCTACCTCAATTAGGATTTATAAATTGGTATATGTCAATAGCTATATATATATCAAAATATATCCCAGCTCCACTGAGCGATTCAAACTCGCCCTCGTTACACAATTTCCATTATTCAATTAGTGATATCCTACGCTTTTATAAAAGCCTACTCAATCACTGGTAAGTGCAGGCTTTTATATTTCTCAAACCAGCTCTTATCATAGGTATTGCGTTTTATAAATCTCAAACTAGCTCTTGTTCTGTGTATTGCGCTTTATAAATCCCAAATCAGCACCTCTCTGTGTAAAAGTCTAACTTGACTTAGATCCTTACGATGCCGGACTTCTTCTGGGATGCCGACCATCACTTCGCTGGTCCAGAGCACGACGGTCTACCTGCGGACTTCTGTCCCCCCGAAGCCTTCCAGTCTACCATTAACCATATTATGAAGATGGAAGCCGAAGAACTCATCGTCCCTGACTCCGATTCCGACGAAGATAGCGGTAGCTACGTCAACTTCGCCCCACTCCCTCAGGGCAGTATCAAGTACTTGCTCGAGCATGTGCAGTTGCTCGACTCGAACCTGCCCAAAAACCTGGTCAAGATCTATGTCAAGATCCCAGAGGACGCCAAGCACCTTGCAGGAAATATTGACGGAATATCCAGCTGGCACTCAAAGGGCACAATGAGCGACGAGGACGTTTGTTTGCATGAGGCAGAGGAGTATAGGGATTTCTCTTACATTGTATGTCTTTCTTTCATGAGCTAAAGACGCGTTTCCTAACGTTAAGTAGAACCGCTTAGCTACCATCGTCTTTGAAGAAGTCGGCGAGGGACAGGGTACCTACTGGGATGATCATCCGGTACACATGGGTACAGATGGCAAGGTAAGTAGATCTTTTCATCTTGATCTAGGTCTTTGTTAACATTAATATAGAACATCGTTAATGATCTCATGATATATATGGAGATGGCCCACTACATGGGTTAATAGGTCATTCCTAATGCCGTAATACTGGGAAGGGAAAGCTTTGGTTTCCATATTTGAGTTACATTCACAACCAGGCTAGCTGGCATGAACTCTTAACACGGCCGTTATTACGTCTTTTGCTACTTATATTTGCAGATTCGTTAAGGCACTTAATTAGGCCCTTAGCTTTTAATACTAGGCCTACTACTTCAATTTCTTATAGGTCCTCGTCTTCTAACTCTAGACGGATTAGGATATACCCCTTTGAAAACTTATGGTTTGTTACGATTACTTACATTTATAAATCTCAAATTAGCCCACTGTTTGAGTGCTTTTATTACCTATATAAGATTTCTCTTCCTTCTAGCATTTTTGATTTTTGATTTTGTATTCATGTCGGTAACCGGGCCTGGGGTCCTGAGCCCTACTCTGAACATTGAGATTTTCCGGCATATCTTACTTAAGTTTCCAACCGTTTCTCTTGATTTGCTCTTAACTTTCTCTTAATCAACTTCTCTTCATCAACTTCGTCTCAACTTCGTCTCTCTCAACTTCGCCTCTATTAACTGAGAACTTTCAGATCTCCTCACTCAGTATGTCATAGTAACATTCTCATATCTTCAGTACAGTACTAATGCCTCCTCAGATAACAATGCCAGTCTACTCGTGGGATACTAAAGGTCTCTACATGGGGCCAGAGTCTGCCGACCTACCAGCCGACTTCTGCCCAGCCGAACTCTTTATCAACGCTCTCCTACGTGCTTATATCAGAGCCCGAAATATCGACCGCCGCTTCGAACCGCCCCCTGGGCATAGATGGGGCTCGGTACCTGCTATAATCTATATTCCGAAGGGCAGTATCAAGTACCTCCTCGCCCAAGCCCAGGAAGTCAACGATCAAGGCCTTCCTCCCAGAGCCGACGGAGACGGAGCAGATGGTAGCGTTTGGGTCAAAGTGCCAGAAGATGCGCACCACCTCGAGGGACAACTTGCCAACCTGCCCAACTGGCAGGTTGTAGGCAATATCGACTACCCGGACGTTAGCCGTATTCAGCATAATGATGATAAGGTTGGTCTAGAGTGCTCTTGTTGATTATTTGATAATGTACTAATCTATCATAGGAGTACTCCGCTACTTTTATCTTTGAGGAAGCTGGTGCTAATGAGACTCTCTACTGGGACGTGGCGATCTGGCAGGATTGATGGAATGTAGGAGGGAGTGAGAAGCTAGTACTTATCCTCATAGTGAACCTACCTTATGCAGGAGGGGGGTCCGTACGGCAGAGGTCGTTTACTATGCTAGCTTAATATTACCCTCCGATACTTATAATGCCTAGTTAGAGTGCAGGTTGTATGTTGTCCTAATTCAATGTCTATGCGTTACCCTGTTAGACTTTGTTACGTAATAAGGTCAGTAACCGCATTTTACGAAGTGCCCGTTACGTGCTAAATCACGTATCTATCTTAGACATCGTATATATAGACCTTTCCTTTTATCTATTTCTACTTTAATAGTTAAGCTACTTAACTTATATTATACTTTATCAAGTAGGCTAAATAGGCTTAGGTTTAGGAAATTTTAAGAATTTCGCATACTTTTTAGTTAAAAATAAGGCATATTTTAAAAAAACGAGAAATTAATAAAAGTATTATTATATTATAATTACTTAGTTATTACTTTTTAATATATTTAAATAAGTTATTTCTTTTAGTTATAA